GCTAACTAACCACCACATCAACATAGATGTGACAGGAAGATTCAGTTATTCTGATTGGCTGCTGCCCATCTGCATATCCCGCTGAGTGCTGGGCATCTGCAAACACCATTTCTACCCTTTAGTACCACTTGGAATAAGCGGCAGTCAACTGGAACAAACTGTCAGTCACGTCTGGTCTACCTGTATGTGTAATCGGTGCAGCCTGTAACATAATTTCACGGTATTTTTTTTCCTTTAAATAGTCTGAGTCTAATTCTAACTTTAAAAATGCCTCTTTCTCCTTAGTCATAAAGCTATACTTTTTCTCCTATCAGAATTTGGTTTGATATATATATTTATATATATATATACACACACACACATATATCAACATCTATATCTATATGCAAACATACAGACATATATGGAGATATAAAGGCTATACAGTGATTCTACCAAACTAGAAATTCTGCTGCCCCAAAGTGTAACTTCCTTTTCTACTTTATTTGGTTAAAAAAACAAAACAAAACATGCAGAGGATAAGGAGATGCCTTGGGGCCTAACGTGATTGTGCCCTGGATAATCCATGAAAAATCCTTTAAATGAGCAATAACAGAAAGGTTGGGGTGGGGGTAAAAAAAAGAAGCATATGTAATCAGTAAAATTAGAAGTATTGAAAGGAAAGTCACTTGCTTTCAAAGGGCTGGGGTACTTTATGTAACCATTTGGAAGATATGGAAAGCTCTGAATATGGTTAATATTTGAATCAAATTCCTTTTCATTTTGCAAACCCTTCCTATAACCGGAGCCAAGCTATTTTAAGTAGTAATTTAAAAAAATTCTTTGTATGGCTAACAGCTAGGCAAGACCACTCATTTTAGGGAGAAGTGGGTGAGTTTTTCCAAGCTTTTGACTGGATGCAAAGAACAACGGGTCATAAAGGCTTTTTTGAGCCCTTGATTTTTCTGCATCTGGGGCTACTAACTGAATCAACCTGGCACAGGGGGAGGCAGGAGCAGAAACTGGAATGGTCCTATTTCCAGGTTACCTATGGGATGGCAAACTGCCTGGTATCGATAACTTCCCAGGAATTTAGTTAGCAGCTGCAGTCACTGGGGGTAGCAGGGCCAGTAATGAACAGCAGGCAAAAAGTCTGGCTGGACGCTCCCAGAGAGCTAAGGCAGAGCCCTTCCTTCACAGAACTTAAGGAGGTATACCACTTTCTGTACTTTTAATCTCAAGAATATGGCTGAGCCCCAAAGCCAGTGACACAAAATTCATTTGGTTACTAAAAGGAAAACAAATCAAAACCAAACCAAACCAGGAGTACAATGGGGGAGGAGGGTGATGTTCTTACATCAAAATTCATAGCAAGCAAATAGTAATAAAAATATACAATCAAATGCAGCTTACCAGGAAACAGCAAATGCATTTTTCTTCTTTTCAGTTCCCTGGGTCTGGATAAAAACTTTTTATTTAATGGGCATCAACTGCTAAGGGATGAGATTTAGATCACAGCACTTTCTTTCCAGAATGACTGTCAACAAGGAAATAAAAGACAAAGAGAACATCAAAATCTTCTTCTGGGAGGGATTAATTAGAGAGGGAATCCAGAGTTCCAGTAATCAGACTCATAGGTGAGTTATGAACTATACATTCCAGCCCTCCCTTTGAGGGTCTTTAGTATCACTATAAATATTATCTTTGATTACTAGTAGGGCTACAGATTTCATTTGCTAAATGCTAAAATCCTCCAAGTTTTCTCCTTATCTGTTCCTATTTGCTCACTCAGGTCTCCACACACTCCCCAATCTTCACTGGAGGCTTCTTGGCTAAACAAGGTTTTATGCTTTTGAATACCAAATTAGACAACTGAACCAAAACAAAAAAGAGCTACTCTGACACTTCTTGCCTGTTTTCAAAGGGTAAAATGAAGGCTGGGTCTAGAGGACAGCACTATAACTTTGGGAAGGAATTAGCCAGTGAACATGGGTGTGGATGTCAGTTTCTATCAGGGGAAGAGATGCCCCCCTTTTACAAAGCCTTCTTTCAATGTTTGTTTCAAGCCCCCGTGCTCTGCAATATTACAGCGGGGTAGCTGGGAAATGTGTCCACAGATCTTATTTTTGGCTGGCTGCTGACGGCCATGTCTTGTGATGATAAAGAATTCTACTGAAGACAAAACTCACGGAGCCACGCGTCGTCTTCTCATCAGAGAAGAATTTTAACAGAGGGTGTAAAGTTAAAAACAGCGTATAAAATTTCCCTACCTGGACCCAGGCTTTTGGACCTCTTTAACCTTCATTCTACCTAAGACTTTCTCTTGAATATCTTATCTAAATCATACAGAATTCAATCACAGCAAAGGGAAAAAACTTCTGTTAGGCCAACGAACACAGCACAGTTAGAAAATACTTGCCTTATGTGGACATGGCCTCAAAGTAAAGAGGCAAACAAACCACTGGGGGTTTGAAGATGTCATCTACAAACAAAAATTTCCCTTTAAAAGTACCAGTTTAAATGTAAACTAGAAAACACCTTAACTATAAAATGTAGCCAGGTATCTGTTTAAGTATCCACAGTCAATGATTTAGTTTATACTAATTTAAAATGTGACTCTTTAAATATCTTCTAGAAGGCTAAAGTATTTTACAGTAGCTATAAACATATATATACGTACATGTGCATTTTAACATCACATTTGAGTACAACACACACAGTAATCTATTCCTTGGTTTAATTTTTATTGTAAAGAATCACTATCTTCAGAATTCACTCAAGCAACAATGACCAGGGTGGGCATTTATCATTATTTTCAGCCCATGGGGAGCCCGTAGTCTTTTTTTATCCCAAGTTCAAGCTGGCTACATGTTTTCAAAAAGGCTAAAACCAGGATGAATGCCCACATTTGAGGTAATTATTGCCACTAGGTCACAGTTTGTGTAAGATAAATGTATCTAAAACCTTCTAAAAAAAATCCTCAGGTGTCCTGTCAGAATTCCAGAATACCTAGCGAAGCAACCCAGGATCCTGAATTGTCATCAGCCGGGTTTGCTTCCCAACGGAGGCAGGAGTTCTGGAAGATTCTAGAACTCATGTAAACTACCCGAGAACTGAGGCAAAGCAGCCTGGAGCCAGTGAAAGCATTTTTAAAAGGAAAAACAAATAGGGGAAAAAGTATTCAAAGGATGTTCCACAGCAGTTTAACAGCTACCTTACAGAATTCTAGTCCTCAAACACTTCTGACTCATGTCACCTTTCAACTGAAATCAAGATGCCTCTGCATTCATGATTCCTCTCCAGGGCTCTTGAGACTGTTCCAACTGGATCCTCAAATTTGGCCAGGTTTCCTCAGGGCTGCTGCTTTTCCTTCTCTTTTGAGAGGGCTGCCTGCCTGTCTCAGAAAGGAAACCTCAGCTTTGTTTCTGGTTTTGAAGGGTTTTGTATTTGCTTTTTTAAATAAAGAAAAAGAAGCCTCTGGATGACAGACCTACACGTGGTATTTACAAGGTTGGTGTGAATCCTTCATATGGTTCCACCCACAGCTGAACAGTTGATCTGTTACGGAGATCAGAGTTGTCATAGTATTTATCAGTGCAGTAAAAAATAGCATTTTGAAAAAAATATACCTTTAGTATTGCCTTTCTTGGATTAACTATAAGCAAGCAAAAGATACTTTTTAAAAACAAAAGAACATATTTTTTTTCTTCACACTTAAGTCTGTTTAGCAGCACTGCTAAGACCGGAAGGATAAAGCTAATCCATACAGAAGAAACACGTTTCAGCTTTGTTATTTTCTAAAACCACTGAGCATGGCCTCAGACTAACCATAACAACCCCCCTCCCCTCTCCGTCTACTCCACAAGCCAAGCTATTTTGCCCACTCCAGCTGCACTCAAATTCAAGGCCTTTCCCCAGTTCTTCTCTTTTAAAAAGCCCAGCTTAAAGTTGCCCTTAGAATTCTTATTCCGATTTAATCCTACAATCAGAGTATGCAGCATTATTTACCTTTTGTTTAAGGGCTACTGTGGTCATGGTACAAGAATGGAGGGGGTGACGAACGAGTCTGGAACAGCCTAACATCTGGTTCTCCAGAGAAGCTGATCCCCCAGGGACAGCCTAGTGGTGATGACAGCCTCGACCTTGACTTGAAGAACAAAGCAACTTCTCCACTCCCACCCCCACCTCGTCCCAAAGGCCAGATTCACAACAGCTCTGCTCTATCAACTCAAGGACCTTTATGTGCAGAAAGTCACATTCCACGACTGTACATGCACAAGGTCACTGCTGGAGGATATGGCAGGCTACTTTACTTTTTTTTAAACAGGGTATTAAAGCTAGTTCTCCAATGTGGTGGCCTGAGAGTTGAGGCTGTCAAAGATTCATAGAGGGGTGATGCAAAGGGAGGTAGAAAGACCATGGAGGCAAAATCAAGCTAGGCCCTCTTCCTCCAGAGGGCACAGCCTCCCCTACCCCCACCCCCATTCACCTCCCTGCACATCTCTTCAGATCTGGAGGGGGTGTCTCTTTCTCAGACACCTACAAGTAGTAGGAAGCATTTAGAACACACTCCTACCCCTAATGGTTATCAATTAGTGATGAACTAAAGACTTTAAAGTGTTTCCTTTGAGTTTACACACCCCTGCAGGTTCTTCCAATTCCATAGCTCCCTGACTGAGATATTACTGGAACTCTTCTGTGGAGAATAAATGTGAGTTCTAAGGCATCAAAGTGGACTAGCAATGATGAGCTATGCCAAAGAGTTTCCAGTTGCATTTGATGCTCCTAATACTCGTTTCCAACCACAGGGAACGTTTATTTAAATTTGTATTGGATGTGATCTTGAGATGAGCTTTAGCCCCAGTATTATTACAGTAGGCTCACAGTTTGGGATAGCAGCAGTATTTAGTGTTGCTAATCTTCATATTTCTTTATTAGGTGAGTGTAGTTTTGAAATGAATGTGACAAAACCCCCCCACAACAAAACAACTTACAAATCAGGGGAGGGAGAGAAAGAGAAAAAAAAATGGAATTTGGTCTTTAATGATGTTATTATTGCCTGTAAAAGAAAGACAGGAACATTATTCTGTCTGCACATGATGATGGTTCTGCAAAGGTTTCTTTGGCTAAGGAAATGAAGATTTTCATCTTCCTTTCAAGTTTGGTAATGGGATTTCTGCTGTGCTCGGTTTTGAGGCTATGCCTTCTGAAATTTATCACAAAGAAAAGGAAACAAACAAACAAAAACAAGCACTGAAAGTGTCCCTGTGCTGGAATGTTTCATGGCAAAATCATGAGTGCGATGGGGTAGTGAAGTCCCAAACTCTAGTTCCAGAACAAACCACTGTTCTTCTGCTGAATTACCTTCTTGAGCAGAGGCCACCTACCTAGTTCCTTCTCGTCTTTCTGTCCTTTTCTTTCACAGCTGTCTGACAGGCCAGTAAGAGAAGCTATGTTTGCACATGTCCCCTCCCCTCTCTTGCTACCAGGATGGAGATCCTGGAAGCAAAGAACGGGGACACGGGATGCTTCTAGTCTTTATCCAACATGGACCACCAAGAATACTTCCTTAAGTCTCTTCATCTCCTTCCCTCCAGTTTCCAAGTAAAGCCTGCTCCATGCACACACACACACACAATCACACCCCCCAAATCTCTACCATAAGCTTATTCAAAAAGAACTATTTTCAGTTTTCAACTCCAAAGGTCAATTCAAGAAATAGCCATCTCTTGCTCCTACCGCTGCCCCTTCCTGATGGCCAATGGTCTTGTATTTTTGACAGGCTGGGTCTTTCCCTGAAAAGAAGAGAAAGCCCAGATCTTTTCCCCACCCTTAAAAAATCCTGCTTTCTAGTAAGGCTAGAAAAACAAACAGAGCCCACATTGATTGCCTGTCACTATTACAAACACCAATTTGGCCCGGCCTTTCTTTCCCCTCAGAATTAGAAGCACCAAATGCTCCATTTTGCAACTTCCATTGGCACTGTGCCTCAGATTCCACCACCATCACATCAGTCTGCCTACCCCCTTTTCCTGGAAACAGCTGCCATATCATGAAGGAGGATCTAGCCACAGAGATAGGTGTAATCATCCACAGGGTCCAGGAGAAACCAATCAGCCAGAGGCAAATGCACCTGCAAAAGAAGATTCAAGCTACCCATTTTTCTCCCCTTCTCATCTTGTTCTTCACAGCTTCTTCCAAACAGGAAGGAACAACCCCCTTAAAGATTCCTACAACGTTCGAGGTAAGCCAACAATTCTGTGAAATAGAAATGGGACAAGCCTAGCAACAAGTTCTGCACTTGAGCTTCTTGTTCTGACAGAGAGAGAGTCTGTACCTTCTCCAGACTGCCCAAGTGGCTCTGTGCTAAAAGTGCAGGGCTAGAAATTGTGAGGGGAGGATGTTGAATTGGAAACATGATTAGTGCTGCTATGTTGGGCTTGATTCAGGATTGTTTTAAAGTTGAGATTTTGGATTAAAGGTCTCAGACCTTTCTATAGCAGGTATTACTAGTCTAACAGATACCTAATATTTAAACCCTTCATCCTTCCCCAAGAATATGGAGTATGTGGCATTCTATTTTTTTAAAAAAGGACTATGTATATGGTGTATTGAGAATATTAGGGTGCTCAATAAATATTTGTGATGATGATGATAATGGTTGTAGGAAGCATTATTATAGTCCTATTCAATGATTTTATGTGGGGTCTGACCCATCACATCTAAATAACTTTCAACTATTCAAAGGTTTTTGGGTTCAGGTATTATCCTGTGGTTCCTTAAATGCCTACCCCTTCACATGTGTTTGTGCCTATGTCCTAAGTGGGACATCCCTGGGACTGTGTAGCTAAAGGGGAGGGTATGTCTAAGTGTGTGTAAAGTGAAAGGGGGGGGAGGGGACTCTGTAGTTACCCTGGGAAAAAAGTGTGCTTCCCATTTTCTCTTCTCACCCCATAGTGGTCATCATCACCCGACCATCACTGTAACTTCTTATACACAACAGTTTTCAGGGCAAGGGTACTGCAGTCTGACAGCTAAACTGGGCTTCTAGGGCAGCTGCGGGGCAGTAATGCTTGGAGATGGAGGTAAGAGCAGGAAAGGTGGTGAGAACGGTAACAAGGACTGAGACAGTTTTGATTCAGGTCCAATCATTCAGCCAATGAAATGTCTACTCAAAAAAACAGTTCCCAAACCAATGGAAATTCTGTATGCCAAATTATAAAATACGGTCAGTTTTTAGGTTTTCTGTACTCCATTCTTGCCCTGACCAATATAGATATTACTGGAAATTTCTAGTAAACAGAGACAAAAAGAAAAAAAAAATCCTACCTCTCTGGTGTTCCTAGCCAATCTTCTGTATTCTGTTCTCTTTTTGTTTCACATGATTAGACCCCTCTGATGGCCCTCATTCCACTTTTGTACTCAGATACCACAAAATGATATGGTTAAATTTAAGAAAGAAAACATTGAGATGCTGGAATGAATTCATTTAAAATTCAAGCTAAATATTGGCATTACTATAATAGTCATGATTACAATAAAGCAATGCTGTCCTTTCTCTTGAGAATATAAGTCACACTAAATTTTCATTGCTGACCTGATGAGGAAGAGATGGTGAGAGAGGGAGGAGAAACAGATGGAGAGGAAATGGGAAAAGGAACAGGGAATTTTGGACATGAACAATTTCCATTTTTTTTAATGGAAAATGTGCTTTTTTCCCTGGGAAAATCAGACCCTTTTAATCAGGGAAGTCAGAATTGGAATGGATTTGTTCTGGGGGTGCCCAAGAAACTAACATGGCCAACTTGAATTTAATTTGTTAGCTCCTGGACACTTTTGCATTTGGGGAGAATGCTACTGTTGGATAATCTACACATGTGCAATAGCAGACCGATCTTTCAAGGTCATGTAACTCTGGGAGATCTGCACTTTTCATTCATGCTCCCGACTTCCCATTTCCAGTGACCTCCTAAATGGCAACCCCTTTGTCCTAAATGAAGGTGAGTGGTACTGTGGTATCAAGGCGAGTGGAAATTTGATCTCTGCTGCAACCATTTTCCAGTCTGCCTAACACTTCAGTCAGTCAACAAGCATTGCTTGAGCTCAGATGGGGTCCAGGGCCTCAAAGGGGTAAAAATGCTCTTAGACATGCCCATGGGGAATGTGGCCTAACCTTAGGCTCATTTGTATTAGGGCTGTTTACTCCTCTGTTTGGAGAGATTTTTCTTTGTAAAATTTCTAAGATGTGTTGGGGAGGAGTGAGGGAAGTTTCCAGAGTTCCTTTACAATTAAGAGCTAAATTAACAACAGCTTTACTGAGATGAAACGGAATTGTCATTATGAAAACATTATTTGCAGAAGATGATTAGGGAAAGTCTGTAGTTGAAGAGCTGTGGAGGGGTCGGGAGGTGAAAGCAGAGGGGATTAAGAAAATGTGACATAGAGGTCATAGGATCATATATTCAGAGCTGGAAGGGACCTTGAAGGCCATTGAATCCAACCTCCTCATTTTAAGGATGAGGAAACTCAGGCAGAAAGAAGTAAAGTGACTTGCCCAGGATCACACAGTTAAAATCCGAGGCAAGATTTGACTGACTTCCTGACTTCCAAGTCCAGGTACCCACTGTACCCCTGGGGTAAAAGTTGGGATTTCTTTCGATGATCTCTTTGTACTTTTGAAACCTGGATTCAGAGTCACTTTCAATCAAAGGTCTGGAAAGAATTTTTAAATGTCCTGTCAGTACCAGAATATTGCTTTCGGTTTCCGTTAATCAAATTCTGAGTGGCTCTCTCTGCTTGGGGAAAATATTCCCTTGACCTGTATTCAGAGGCCCTGAAGAAACTTCCAATATTTATCAGTGGCTACTAGATATTGCTTGAAGCAACCCTGCTGCAGTGCAAAAGAGAGATATATTTTTCAAACTCTCTGCTCCCTGGCTGGGTAGTCAGTCCCAGATAACAGTGAAGTTGGGGTGTTCCTGTGGAACTACTCCCCCACCCCCTAAGCCCTCTGCAAACCAGGGGCTTAGAGAAGATGGGGAATTTGAGGAAAGAATTTAGCAGCAAAAAGTCTAGGCTGGTGGTTTTTCTGTGGGGTTGGGGAGGGGGAGAAGCCAGACAAGCAGGGTCTGGGAATAGTGCAAGGGTAAAGCAATGACAGCAGGAATTGGGGGAAAGGAAACTTGGGTGTGGGGACTGAAGAGGGGCTGAGAGACTGAATCACAGAGCATTAGAGCTGGGAGGGACCTTAGGGACCATCTGGCCAAAAAACTAAGGCCCAAAGACGTGGCCAGCCTGGCCAAGGTCACATAGTAAGTAGAAAAGTCATGAGGAGAAGCTGGATTTCCTGACTCTCAGTCAAGACCCTCTGAATTCCTGACTGGGGGGTAGGGGGGTGGGGTGGAGGGAACAAGGGTGAGAGAAAGGAAGAATGAATAGCATGTGGAATTTGCAGGGCCTGCTCTCATCCCGAGTCTGTTGTGACTTCTGGTGAAAAATCCCTATTCTCTCAATGAGTGGCTACATTTCCCCCTCTTTTAAGAAAAGAAAAGAGACAGTAACCTGACAAAGATCCCTCATTTCTAAAGCAGAGGTGGGCTACTTGTAATACTGTCCCACAGACTTCTGGTAACTGAGAAGGTGGGAATGTCTTACTTCTCAGGCCAACCAATGAAAACCTTACCCAAAGCCCTTTTTTGATTCTGCTACCACTTCTTCTATCCAACTCTCCAAAGACATGTAGGCTCCTTCCAGCTCCTGCAAAGCCTCCCTGACACCCAAAGTTAGCAAACAGTAGAGAGGACAGCTAGCCACAAGAAAACGAGGATTAGGAGAAAAAGAAGAAAAAGCCCGAGCGAGATTACAACAGCAAAAAAGAAGGGCTGAGATCGTATTCTGACTAGCCTCAGGCAGTTTCTAGGAGTACCAGCGGAAGTAAACCCTTCCACCACATCTGTAATTTGGTAAGGCACTAGGAGGGAATGATGTAAAACTAAGACTGTGACAGTTGTAATGGCTGTGCCGAGGAACACATCACAGAGAGAAGGCAGCGTCAGCTCTCTATGTCTCTCTTACTCTCACTCACTCTCTCTCTCTCTCTCTCTCTCTCTCTCTCTCTCTCTCTCTCTCTCACGCACACACACACACACACACACACACACACACACACAAACTTGGACAATCACATTTGTTACATGCCTATGTTATATCACTTTTTTGTGCAATCACATTGAAGAATAATCTATTGGTATCACTGAAGTTGAACATAAAGAAAAAAAGGGCTACAGTGCTACATCCTACATGGAGGTGGGGAGGGAGAGGGTGGGCTAAAATTTCTGCTACCTCCTACATGGCTAGGGATTCAAAGTGAAAATAAAACTCCAACAGAAAAGAAAACTCAGAATTTCAACATACATTATTAATGACATTTTAGGAATAACATTGCTTAGGGATTGATCCAGAATGCTCAGAAGGGAAAATGAGACCCTCTCCAGGAGATCTTCAATCATGCTGCCCTTCTCTGATTATGTCAAACACGAGTACGTGAATTTGACTCAAGACAATGAAGAGCCTGGCTTGCCCCACTCCCACCCTCACCCTCTTCTCTCCATCCCCAGAATGACGACTACATATCAGCACCCGTGGATCACTGCCTGATGCTCAGGAGGGCTGTGGACCCTTCAGAGTTCTGGAAAAATCCCTTTTTCTTATGTTCAATTGATTAAAAACCTATTGGATTTCGGTTTCAGGTGTCCCTGACAGCAACTGCTTAAATGTCACTTGCTGTCATATGAAAATAATCTTTCAAAAGTCTATAGGTAAAGTTCTTCAAAAACTGGGGCCCCAAATTCTGGGACCTTCCTGCTGCTCTCTTCTCCTCTCCAGTTTGGTGCAGAATGGATACATGATTCTGTGGTTTTTTTTTTTTGTTATTGTTTTTTCCTTTTTCTTTTTAAAAATAAAAAGCATAGAATAATTTCCCCTCCTTAGTCCCTTCCTTTTTCAAAATGTCTTTCCTCTGTCCTCTCCTTCCACTTCCTTGTTCAAGTTTCACTGACAGCCCCTAGCTCTCACTTCCTTACCTTTCCCACCCCACTCTCCTACCCCATTCACATTGTTTGTGAGCTGCATCCTTCTATATAAAAAGCAGCCTTGCTTCCACCTCAATCCAAGGCGCTCCCTTTCTCTCTCCTTCTCCTTTCTTCCCCTCCCTTCTTTCAAACCTCCCTCTCTTTACCCCTCCCTCCCCCATTCCAGTGTTTATATGTAAGGGTACTGGTTGACCTTGGCAGGGCTCAATGGGTATCCAGTGTAGACGGTGGAAGCTGGAGAGGCGCTGATGTAGGTCTGGTGGGCAAATTGAGCTTGATATTGACTTGGGTGGATGGTGGGTGAGGGTAGGACTCGAGGCCCCATGCTAACAGGGACTTGGTGAACGATGCTTGCTGGGTAGGCAGTGTGCTGCACGGTGTGACGAGCAGAACCTTGGGAGGCCACGAGGTGGGCTACAGTGCCAGTGGAGCCCAGAGCAGCAGGGGTGGTGTAGGTGTAGAGATGTGGCTGGGTAGGGAGGTGGGCAGCAGCAGCGGCAGCCAGGTGAGGGTGGACTGTGCCATGACTGGGGCTGTTGTGCGGAAAGGAGTACGGAGCCTGAGCAATTGTAGGAGTGATGTAGGCTTGTTGACGCCGGTGAGGTCCGGCACGATCCGTTGTGATGTGCTGCTGGGCCTGAAAAATAAGAAGCACCAAGACACTGGGTTAGACTCTCTATCAGGCAGGGGATAAAGGCAGAGAGATGGCAGGTGGGATGTTTGGGGCTCATTAACTAGAGTGCTGCTCCTATAATTCAGGAAGATTGTAAAGCTCTGGTCCTAGAACTGTTAGCAAGTTGCACTGTGACTTTAGCCAAATCATTTTCCCTTGGTATGGCCAAAAGTAACACTCACCTTCCTCACACCATCCTCCCAAGTCCGCCAGACTTGCAACTTAAGTGTCCTCCACAACTCAGCACTATCTACAGATCCAATCAATTGATTTCACCTTTAGAACATCTCTAATATATACCCACTTCTCTCTTCTGTTACTGTCATCACATAGTGCAAGGCCTCATCTCTCTGCAGCTGGATTACTGTACTAAGCGGCTGGCTGATCTGTCTGTCACAGCTCCTCCAATCCATCCAACCCATGAAGCTGCCAAAGTGATTTCCTTAAAGCACAAGTCTGATCATGTCACCCCCTGATTCCCCAAACTTCAGGGACCCCCTATCACCTCCAGGATCAAACAGAAAATCTCGTTAGGCATTCAAAGCCTTTCAGACCTGCCTCTGCAATCTTTCTGATCTCCATGCTCTTCTGTCCAGTGACACTGGGCTCCTCGCTGTTCCTTAAACATGATACTTCATCTCCTGACTCTGGGCATTTTCTCTGGCTGTCCCACAGGCCTGGAATAGGCTCTCCCTCCTCATCTTCACCTCCTGACTTCCCTGACTTCATTCAAGGCCCAGCTGAAATGTTACCTTCTACAAGAGGCCTTCCCCAGTCCCTCTCAATTCTAGTACCTTCTCCCTGTTGATTATTTCCTATTTATCTTATATAAAGCTCGTCTGTACACGATTGTTACATATTGCCTCCAGGCAGGTAGGATTAGAATTAATTCATCTATGCAATAACCCTGTGATATGGGTAAGGGTTGAGAACAATATTTTTTAATGCTGAAGATGAGGTAACCTAAGGCTGAAGCTCTGAGGTAATTTTTCCTGACAATAAGGTGTTGCCTCACCAAAAAAAGAAGGAAAAAAAAGGTGGTACAGTGGTTAGAGCGCCAGGCCTAGAGTCAGGAAGACTGGAGACCTCAGACACTTACTAGATGTGTGGCCCTGGGCAAGTCACTTCACCCTGTTTGCCTCAGTTTCCTCATCTGTAAAATGAGTTGGAGAAGCAAATGGCAAAGCACTCTAGTGTCTTTTCCAAGAAAACCCCAAGAGGGGTCACAGAGTCAGACATGACTGAAACCAACTCAACAACGACAATAATAATCACTAACATTTATGAAGTGCTTACTATGTTTCAGTTACTGAGCTAAAGTGCTTTACAAATATTATCTAATTTGATCCTCACAACAACCCTGTGAGGTAGGTGGTTATTATCCTCACTTCACAGATAAGAAAATGGAGGCAAATAGAGGTTAATTGACTTGCCCAAGGTCACACAGCTAGTAAGTGTCTGAGACTGGATTTGAATTCAGGTCTTTTTGACTCCAGGCTAGTGCTCTATCCATCGTATGACCTAGCAACCAGTAGTTAGGCAACACCCAAAACTCCACAAAGTGGTGGCTTACCTGACTGAGATTAAGAGGCTGCTGCTGCTGGAAATGTGGTCCTGGCCGAGGCTGTCTATAGGCAATGGCTCCAGACGAGTTCCCTGAAGAGTGACCACTGGTGGAGGTCACGATGCTGGAGGCCTTGGACTTGTAGGAGGATGGGTGGTGACTGGTGTTGACTGTCAGGAAGAGGAAAGATGGCTACTGTTAAATCAAATCACCAAGGCTCAAAGTCCCCTAGGGGATGGTACTCTAACAAAGCAAAGTGATAAAAAGGACACCTTCAAGTTTTTGTCTAGTGTCTTAAAGATACTCTTTTTTGGTTTTTGTCTTTGTGGAGGCAATTGTGGTTAAGTGACTTGCCCAGGGTCACACAGCTAGTAAGTGTCAAGTGTCTGAGACTAGATTTGAACTCAGGTCCTCCTGACTCCAGTCACACATAGTCTTATCCCCTCAATGGCAGAATGACTACCATTCTGTCTTATCTGAATTCCAACCTTTGCTCCACTTTGGGGTAGAATCAGGCACTGAATGCAAATGAGGTAACATTAATGGAGGTCCAAGGATAAATTATTTCCTATTTATCCTATATAAAGCTTGTTTGTACATATTTGTTGCATAGAAATGAAAAAGAAAAGGAAAAGAGCATGGTCTGGGAGAAGAGGCCACAGCTATCACAACAGCTGACATCTGGGGCCCAGGGATGGCTATGCATCTATAATCTTTAGCTAGGACCAACCAAGCTAAGTTTGAAAAAGCATCAAGTTAGCTGGGGTGGCTCTGATTTTTTTTGACTACAGCAACTCCTGAACACAATCTACTAAACTGTAGCCATGATTTTGTCTTGGTAGAGGAGGCAACTCATACAATGAAAGGACAGATTCTTGGAGTTAGGAAGGTTTGTAAAGTGCTTTAGATACATATTTTCATTTCATCCTCCAAACAAGGCAGACTGGCATGAGAGGTATTATCATCGTTTGGAGATAAGGTTACTGAGGCCCAGGAACAAGTCCATGGTCACAGAGCTAGGAAGTGGGGTTTAAACCACGTCCAGCACTCTCTCTGCTACACCACACACCTTCACACAATATCATCTAATGAAAAGGCCAGACAGTTTTAATATGGTTCTGCCATTTACTAACCATACTCTTTTTCAGGTTCACCTCACCTCTTGGCTACTAAGTTTCTACAGCTCCAAAATTGAGGTTAAAAACAAACATCTCCCATTCAAGTCATCTCAAAGGGACAGTGTAAGTATGGAATAATAGAAGTTCAAGTGTGTTGAAATTTTTAAAGTACTATGTAAAGGCAAAGTTTGATACCGCTATCAAAGAGTGGTGTATAATACTCTGCTGGAGTGTCTGGCATGTGAGGAGGCGTCTGACAGGGTCTTACAAGATGGGCAAGGAGACCAGTCAAAGCAGTAGACAAGGCTGGAAAGAGCAGACAAGCACTGAAGATCCAGGAGGCAACAGCTCAAGTTGAATAAGGTAATTAAGGAGGCTAACAGGCAGAAATGTTTATTTAGGCAGGTGTGGTCTAGAATCCAGGAAGTCAGAGAATAATCAAGAACGGCACTGGTAGGCAGAGGGCATGTCGGAAAGCTTTCTTCTTAAGGCAGAGACTCTTTTCTCTCTGCTTCAGATGTGCAGGTCATGGATCACATATGCATTTGAAATCAGAAGTAGAATTTGAGACCTTAAAAATGCAGCTAGTTCACAGCTGAGGAAGGGATGCCAGAAAGCTGGATGGTTTTTGTGTCATAGGTCTTCAGGAGGGACCTAGCACAACGACTTTCAAATAAAAGGCACTTAACTGATATTGAATGTCTTAAGTACTGCATGTTTAAGAAGTACTTGATTGGCCGCTGGGCAGAATCCCAAAGAACCCCTATCAAATGTACCCAGAAGGACGTGATAGGCTGCTTGTCTGTTGTACAGCTGTTTTTCTGTCATGTCTGACTCTTGGTGATCCTCCTGGCCTTTTCTTGGCAAAGATACTGAAGAGGTCTGCCATTTCCTTCTCTAGATCATTTTACAGATGAGCAATTGAGATAAACAGGGTTAAGTGATTTGCCCAGGGACACACAGCTAGTAAGTGTCTGAGATCAGACTTGAACTCTGGAAGATGAATCTTCCTGACTCTAGGCCCTGCACTCTATCCACTGTGCCATCTAGCTGCCCCTAAAATAGGCTCCATTCATCAAAAAAAAAAATTCCAACAATCCAGAATTTTATCCTTTCCTAGTCTTCTTTGGCCATCAATAGAAGGAATGAACTAAAAACCAGGAAAATACTAGATGTGGAAAGCTCCAGTCACTCTCTATGTGCCCTAGTTTACTAGTGTGTGTTCAGAAAGAGAGATAGCTGAGCTAGTGAAGGACTAAGAGGAAATAAGCTAACATATTTTTATAACTATTGCATTCTTTGTTATATTGGAATGACAAATTATATATATAAATTATATATTGTAAATAAATTACTATATGGGCACGATACAGTGGCTAGAGAACTGCTCTTGGTGCCAGGAGAAACTGGGTTTAGATTCTGCCTCTTCCACATTCTGGGTAATTCATTTAACCTCTTTGTGGCCCTGGCTTCTCTCTAAGACTGTGAAATATCAGAAAAGGTGGTGACCTGCAGGTCTAGAAGTTCTTCACTGGGAATTCCTTATTCCAATGAAATCACAGGTCTTGTTTAAAAACAAAGCAAAACACAAAAACACAAAAGTTACGAGGAGGGATGCCCCTTTCCTAAGGAGAAGCAAGGCTAAAAATAGAGCTGACAAGGCTCTCCATCACTGAGTGGTGACAGGAGGGGCAGGCCCCATACCAGGTGGACCTGTCCAGGTGGCACAAAAAAGACAGCTCCCATATGAACAAAGGTGGCTGTCCCAGGTTTTCTGTGAGGAGAAAAAAATAATCTAGGATGGAGTAAATTATGGGAACAAATTTTAAAATACCTAATTTGGTTTAAGAATGAGGTTGAGGGTAGGCAAAAGTGAGTTTAATACAAATCTAAAGAGAGCCAAGTGGGGGGATTATTTCATGTCATTTGCATTTGTTTATTTTGTTTCTTGTGATTTGTAATTTGTTTCACCTAATAATGACATTTTCAGATCATAAAATATCTTACTTTTTTAACCTTCATTAGGAAGATACTTATTTCCATGATTTTTCCAAGCCTTGTTAAACTTACACTTGTCACCATCTAGTGGCTATGAAAAATATTGGTAAGAGTGGGGACAAAACAAAAGAATGAAAACCGTTCCTGGTTCTAACCCTAACCCTGGGCTAAAGCTGGGGGTATATAGAGCCAGGTGGTGGCAGAGTTAAAGGAAACAGGGCCCCTGGGAGTTGTACCCAGCAGGGTTCAGCACAGAGCTTTCTTTACATAAAGTGGGTGCTCAAAAGCTCTTTGATGAACTGCACTACACTGAACAAAATTACAGGGAGTAAATATTAGAGCCAATAAGCAAACCAAACTTCAAATATGTGAAGAGCCACCTTCAGAGCAAAGACTTTCCATAAATTTGGCTTCATGAGATATGTGAATTCAGAACTGCTACCTTAAAATAAGTTTGTCTTGATTAAAAAAGTATCTCTAGGTTAGGGGTTCCTAAACTGAGATCCAAGTATAGATTTTCAGGGGGTTCAGGAGCTTGGATGGGGAAAAATGACATCATTATTTTTTACTAATCTTTGGATTATTTTAAAACATTATATATTTTATTCTATGCATTTATAAACACTGTTCTCAGAAGGTAGCCATAGGCTTCCACCTGACAAAGAGGTCCAAGACACACAAAAAAGTAAAAACTCCTGCTCTAGATCCTCTGAAAATATCTTTACTAGAACCCTGCCAAGCTGAATGCCCTGGGATGGCAAGAAGGCTGAAGAACTAGGAGGACTCTTCATCTATACCCCCATGGGTTCCCTCCATTAACTGAAAGTTGCTCTCCACAAGTAATGCCTAGAAGAGATAAAAATCAAGGAGTTACCAATTCAGAGTCTATGTGAAAAAGATTACAGATGAAAAATTAAAAGCCATTAAAGTCACCTGAAAAGGTAATACAGCGAGCTTCCATGTGTAAGCTTTCCTGACCACATTTAAAATAACTGAAAAGTAGGGGTGTCAAGAAGGTAAATGACATGGAATTTCTAGTTTTACAAAAGTTTTGATCTCATTAGTTTTAATATGACAGTCATTTTTATAGTAGTTTTCTTCCCAGTGAACCATGTAAAAAGAGAAAAAATGTAAAGCAAATGAATACATGGATCACATCTGACAGCATTTGCAACAGTCAACAACTATTATTTTGTTGATCTCTTTAAGGAGGTTCGTAAGGTTTGTATTTTAGGTAAACACAAACAGGCAGACATGTAGAAAGAACTGTTGGCCAAAAGAAGGAGACAATTCTCTCTTTTTTTTTTAAAGTGAGGCAAAGTCACACAGCCAGTAGTATCAAGTGTCTGAGGCCAGAATTGAACTCAGGTCCTCCTGACTCCAAGGCTGGAGTGCAGTCTATCCACTGCACCACCTAGCTGCCTCTAACAAGAGACAATTCTGGGGCAGGTAGGTGGTGCAGTGGATAGAGCACGAGCCGTGGATTCAGGAGGATCTAAGTTCAAATCCGGCCTCAGACACATAACATTTAATAGCTGTGTGGCTCTAGGCAAGTCACTTAACGACAATTGTCTGGGGGGGGGAAGAGGGAGAGGGAATAGAATTTAGAAGACTTTGGTCAGGTCCAGACTGTTTGGCACAGAATTGATTGAGAGGTTTGATAGTTCAGTGGATAGAAGGTGCTAAGGTGAATAATAAAGATTACATTCCTGATTTTAGTTGGATGGGACCAAGTTTGTTACCAATTTCCCAGGAATATTAAATTAAAGGGCAAGGATAGGGAGTCTTCTATGGCCTCACCCAAAGACTGGGGAGTAGATAAGGGAGACTGGAGCCTTGCAATCATATGAGGATCCTTGGATCCCAGATTTAGAGCTGGAAGGGATTTTAGAGGGTATCCAAATCTAACAGCCTCATCATATAAAGGAGGAGACGGAGGCCCAGAGAGACAAAGTTGTTTGTACAAGGTCACACAAACAGTTAAATAACAGAGTCAAGCCCTGAACAAAAGTTCCTTTAACTCGTGTGTGCTACTGCTTTTTCCAGTACCCCCA